GGATTACAGGCATGTACCACCACGCCCAGCAATGCTAATTAGTTTTAAAAGACAATGGGAAAAGGAAATCTAATTGCCACTACAAGGTATCGATCAGCTTTTTGTTGCTGTAGGAAAACAAAACAAAATAAAAACCCTTAAAGGAATGAAGCTTTACTCTGGCTCATGGTTTCAGAGGTGTCAGTCCATAGTAACTTGACCTAGAGAGAGAGAATATGAAGGGTTCAGGAACCAAATATAGCCTTCTAGGGAATTTTCCCAAGGACATACTTCCTCCAGCTAGACCCCACCTCCCAAATTATGAATCCACCCATTGATTAATCCAAGGATGATGTCAGATCCCCCTTTATGCAATCACCTTCCAAAGGCCCCAGCTCTGAACACGACTGTGGGTCAAACCTTCAGTGCACGAGCTTTGGGGACATTTCATATCCAACCCACAACATACACTATCAAAACATTATAATTTTTACTTGCTTACACCATAGATTAATTTAGAGTTGGCCTTTTACAACCATGGTTTATTGATTTATAACTTAAAATATTTATTGCTTTATTTAAGTCAAGACCCAGTCAAGTGTGTTTTTCAGCATTGTTTGCTATTTTAATATTTCTAAATTTTGTGCATGTAAAATTTTTCCCTTGATTGTAAACACACACAGATTTAAATTTCATAATGTTTAAAATATAAAAGAAGGAAAAATATTGTGTGCACTTGCTTTGTATATATCCCAAAGAGTCCTAAATTGTTTACCACAAATGAAGAATTGCCTGAGTATGAGATGGGATTCCAACATGAAACCACAAAACCACCATCAGCCACTGAGTCTGAGCTGTGAGGATCCGTGGAGTCAGCTCCTGGCAAGATTAGGATGGGAGGGGGCATAGAAACAATTGGAAAAATGTAGTCATTTTTTATTTGATATGAATCACTTGACTCAAATCAAAAGTTCTGTGGCATTTGTTCCCATCCAGTCATTTAACGTGTACCTAATAAGCTTCTCTGATATCTCCAGCACTGTTCAGGTGCTTGGCAGGCAGTGATGGCAACCTCGCTGAGCCCTGAGGACCACGGAGCTCACACTGTGGGCAGGGACCAGACAATAGCATCCAGTAAACACAGGATTGAGATGATTCCTAGCTCTCAACTGGACTTGATAGAAAGACACTGAGAACACTGGTAAAGCACACTTCTGGGTGTGTCTGTGGGAGTGTTTCCAAAGACAGTAGGCATGTGTGTGGGCAAAATGAGGGGGAAGACCCGTCCTGAATCTGGGCTGCAGTGGTCATTAGACTCAGGGTCCAGATGGAACAGAATCGAAGGGGAGCTGTCTGTGGGTGCAACCTCAATTCTCCCTGAGGGGCTGCACGTTTTGCTGCTGCCATTACCTGTGGGCCCTGCACTTCAGCTATTCCAGTCTCTATAAGTGGGTTCACACCAGCGGCTCTCCCAGCAGCTTCCAGGCCTGCAGCCGTAAACTGGGCTGCTTGTTGGTCAATCTCCAGCAGTGGGTGGAGATAGAAGTTGGGGAGGGACAGTGGGAACAGCCTTTATTAGGGTGTCATCCTGGAGGCCGTCTCCTGGGGGCTGCACATTGGCTAGTTTAAATAAAACATGAGAAGGGACACGGACATATTAGATGACCCTGGTGTTAAGCATGCTGGGCTTGGGATCCGTGGGATGAAGAGCAGGTGGGCTTTAATCACAAACAGCCACACAGAGAGGGGAAGTTAACTAGACCGTAGGTGACAGGAGATGACTGCATTTCCAGTAACTAACATCAGGTCTAAAAATGGCTTAAACAAATTTATGCCCCCATGTGTCAGGAACAGTAAGGAATTTAATGAATTTATTTAAAAATTCATGTAAAGAGAGCATAATACAATGATGAAAAGTGTCATCTGGGAAAATGTATCACAAGTAGGAGTGACACTCAGGAGACTGCCACGTGCAAGCTCTGGCACTAGTGCAAACAACAAGAAAGAAATGACCTGATGGTGCAAGGTCACAGCATGACAGTTGCTGAAATATTAAAAGAATTTAAATTTCATATAAGGTCTATGGAAATACTAGGTTTCTAAGCCGGACATCATTTTTGTCAGCCCAGAGATAAATCGGATGCTTTATGTAAAAAGCAAGTCTAGTTTGGAGTAAGAATAACTGGGGCATGAAGAAGCAGGGTTCTAACTTTGGGTAATGTCTTTAGACAGTGAAAATAAGAAACGACTGTGTGCAAAGAAAAACAACAAGAGTCAGGGAGAGAGCAGTATGGAGATGACTGAGATGAAGAGAGTCAGAGCTTAAAAGCGACTTTTGGTTGCCTTCTATAGGAGTAGGACCGCAGGACAGTTATGGAAGAAGTAGAAAAACATAAGATTTTTGAGTTGTAAGAGAAAAATTGAGGTTTCATTTGGCCATTTTGTGAACAAACAGACCATAGACCTGCAGTGGAGACACCCTGCAAGAGGAACAAAGCTGCGGGATAAAGGAACAGGGCTTATGTGGTGGGGATGAGGGAGACACTGAGGGTAGAACTGGGTGGAAAGAACAGACAGGGGACAGTGTTCAGAGACAAGCCAGGAAGGCGGGAAGACTTGGAAATAAAAGTCATTCACAAGTATTCATTGTAGACTGATTATGTGCCACGTTTAGGTTGCAGATCCACAAATTTAAAGTAGGCCAACAGAATGTGAAGTCTATAGGGAAACGACAAGAGGGAATTCTGATCACATCCAAGGTGGAAGGGATTTCAGGAACCACGTTTAGTTCAAGGGAGGGAGAAAATGGACTGGAGAAGGAAGCAGTGCTTCTGAAGTTTTCAGTTATCACAGATAAGTGGAGACTCTGAAATATGATTTCAGGAGTAAGAAGAGTGGGGAAGTGCTTAGGAGAAAAATAAAGCAAGGGGAGAAAGGGGTTGCTTGAAGTGAAGAGTGCCCTTTAAAATTGATGATCCCAGAAGGCCCTACTGAGAAGATGACATGATGACAGCTCAATTTTTAAAGACATTGAGACCAATGTGTATCATGTATCTCCTACTAACTGTGCTTTCATTTCTAGCCTTTATACATGAAAACTAATAATAAAAACAAGGACTAAGGAAGTTATGAAGACAAAAGAACTTAAATGTTCTCTGGTCCAGTCCTGGAAATCTTGGGCAAAAGGTCCAACAATGAGACACCCCAGTGATCAACCAACTTCCTCATCCAGGGCCAACTGGACTTCATATAGGCTACAGATGCTGTGGCCACCTGCCAGACACAGGAAGTGCCATCAGAATCCAGTGTTTAGCTTTAAATGTAAAATGACCTGGGATGTAAGAAAGCCAGCTGGAGGGGAGAGCAGGATGAAAAGTTATCACTGGAGTGTAAAAATCCACAGTCTCTTGAAAAACAGGAGGTGAGAAAGAAGGACCCCAACCTGACCCACAGAGATGAACTGGCACTCAGTCCCAGGGGACTTGCCCACCACAAGAGAACAAATGGAAGTGGGGACAACTAAAGGTATATTTCTTCAAATGAGAGACCATAAGTGACCCCTGGGAAGACTGTACACCCATAGTACTTAGTCACTGAGGAACTGGGGGAGGAGGGAGACAATCCTTGTGCTCTAGGGGATAAAATGCTGGTTGTACCCAATCTGGGTGTCCCTGACCACCAGGTACCTGATCTTGCAAGATTGTTATTAAAGTAAATCCTCCCTTTTTGCTATACTTTGTGTCTCTTAGGCCATTCTCTGAGTTTGGACAGGAGAGTGCGTTTCTCACAGAGGTTAATACAAAACAGATGCTGAGGGTGGGGTGTGCAGCTCACTGCTAGAGCACTTGCCCGGTGTGCAGGAGGCCCGGTTTCATCCCCAGTACCACAAAAAGCAGAAGTCTGATGCTCAACCATCAAACTCCATTGCCATCCATCACCACCCTTCACCTCAGTGGATCATCTCACCTGAGTGTATGGTAGGTAACTAGTCTTAGCTATAAACCTTTTGAATAGAACACATGGACTCCTGAAATATGTTTCTAAAATAGATTTATCGTGCCCACTGTTTGAAAGCAGAGTTTTTCTAAAGTGACCAAAATGTTTCATATTTCAAGAGCTGTGGATGACAGATGAATAAGGAGTCAAAATCGCCCAAACTGTGGATAGGAGACATACCGTGATGGAGGAGACATTAATGGCATAATCTAGCGGGTGGGTAACAGAGTCTTCACTGTGACATTTTTTCATAATGGAAATTTTTAATTGAGCCGTTCACGTAAGACGTCGTGTCTGAGTCACACCATATGTTAATGCGCCCCGCCACCAAAAAAAAGCACCTGCATTTAGGAGGGGTGGGTTAAAAACGGAACAGGACAATTTACTTGGCAATAGACACGATGGTCCTGCATAGGAAATCCCTCTTCACTTGCTCGGTAACGAGTTTTCCTGAATAAAACTAAAACGGATTCACACAGCTATGCACGCGGGGCCGTCCTACCAGGAAGAGCTCAGCCTGAAAACGCGCTGGCTGCGGCACTCGGAGGAAAGAGACCGCATCAGCTCGCCCGAATCCCGCGTGCGGGTCAGGCTCGGGCACGGCCCCGCCCTCCGCCCCGCCCCAGGCACGGCCCCGCCCTCCGCCCCGCCCCAGGCACGGCCCCCGCCCTGCCCAGCCCCGCCCTACTCGGGCATGGCCCCGCCCCCGCTCCCCGCCCCCGCCCGGCTCAGGCAAGGCCCCGTTCAGTGCGCCCTCCACTACGCGACCTCATCCCAGTGAGCCGCGCTCCGCCTCGCTCCGCCCCTATTAGGCTCCGCCCCGTGTCTCGCCCCGCCCCTCTCGGACACTGCCCCCGTCTCTCAGGTACTGGCCCGCCTCTCGCCCCGCCCCCTCCACCCCGTGCGCCCTCCCCTACGCTACTTCAGTCCCGAGGGCCGCGTACCGTCTCGCTCGGTCCCTGTCAGGCTCCGCCCCGTGCCTCGCCCCTCAGCCCTGCCCCGCCCCGTGCGTCCTTCCCCGCGGGTTCAGCCCGGAGTGCGGCGCTCTCCGGGTCCCTTCCCCCTTGGTGCGCTGTGGCCCCGCATCGGGCTGGAGCGGACCCCGGGCTCTCGGACGCAGGTCCTGATGGCCGCGCCCGTTACTCAGCAGGTCAGCGGCGGCGCCGCCCCGTCCCCGAGCCCGGCGCTGGCCGGCCCTGAGAGCGGGCAGCCCCTGGCGCCCTCCGTGGCCGAGCTGCCCGTGCTGGACGCCACGGGGAAGAGGCTGCCCTTCGGCGCACTGTTCCGGGAGCGACGTGCCGTGGTGGTCTTCGTGCGGGTGAGCGCGGCGACCAAGAGGGGGTGGCTTCCGCAGGACCTGGCGCCTGCGAACGGGCCGGCCGGGCCTGGCCTTCCGGTGTCCGCCGCTCCGCAGCGAGGCTACTTCCCAGCCAGCGGCGGCGCAGCAAGGACATCCTGCCCCCCTCGAGCGCGGCATTTCCTACGGGCCCTCCTGGCCGCGGCGCCGCCTTGCTAACTCGCCCTGTTGCTGTGTTGGGTTTCAGCATTTCCTGTGTTACATCTGCAAGGAATACGTGGAGGACCTGGCTAAAGTCCCCGAGCGACTCCTACAAGTAAGTTTTCCGACAGTGGGTGGCAGAGTGTCCTGCCTCAGGACGGAGTGAGTGGCGCCTGTCGTTTATAACCGCCGGAGTGAAGTGTGGAGGGTGCATGACCTGCATTCCCAAATCTTCCATTTCCTCCCATTTCTCCAACCCCTCAAAAAGGGAGGAAAGAAGTTAGAGACGTTTTATCCTAACTTATTGCAACTTGCTTGTAAACAGTGCTACCTAGTAATTACCTAGTAATGTGCCTAGTAAATGTTGAGTGATAATGCTCCAAATCAAGTGCTGGAAATTGGTTGTTTGTTTTTTTTTTTTTGTTTTTGGTACTGAGGATTGAACCCAGGGGTGCTTAACCATTGAGCCTCATCCTCAGCCTTTTTTTTTTTTTTTTTTTTTTGTATTTTATTTAGAGGCAAGGTTTCGCTGAGTTGTTAAGTGCCTCGCTAAGTTGCTGAGGCTGGCTTTGAACTCATGATCCTCCTGCCTCTGCCTCCTAAACCACTGGGATTACAGGCGTGTGCCACTGTGCCCAGCTGGAAATTGATATTGTTGTCCCTTTATTTGTGTTATGCCGCCAAATAGTTGTTACTTGTAGGAAAATTGTAATGTATCTTTTTTTATTTTTTAAGAGAGAGAGGGAGAGAGAATTTTTTAATATTTATTTTTTAGTTTTTGGTGGACACAACATCTTTATTTTATTTTTATGTGGTGCTGAGGGTCAAACCCAGCGCCCTGCGCATGCCAGGCGAGCCACATGTCCAGCGCCTGTAATGTATCTTACAGATGCCAATTTGTATTTGTTAATAGACTGCAAGTTTCACTACTCTGTTTTTCTTCAGGTATTACATAGGTTTGGTCCCAGGTAAGCTTTTTAAGTGAAGATATTAGATAGGCTTTGTAAAACTAAGGTCTGTTTTCAGTAGACCTTATCTATTGGAATGAAAAAATAAATAAAATTGCTCATTAAATAAGCCTGCTTGTGTGTTGTGGTTTTTAATTTTTTAATTATCTTTGTTTTTGCAGTACTTGGGATTAATCTACATCCCCATTGTATCTAGTGGCTTGGGAGGCAGGAGGATCACAAGTTCATAGCCAGCCTCTGCAATTTAGTGAGGCCCTGAGCAACTCAGCAAATTTTGAGACTAGTATTCTTAAGTTTTCCAGGCTGTCCTCAAAATTACAGTCCTCCTGCTTCCTCTACCTGAGTAGCTGGGATTATAGGCATGTGTCACCCATGCCTGAGGAATACATCATTTTGAATTTTTTTTTTTTAAATTTTTCCTCTGCATGCCCTTTTATTCTCTCTCTCTCTCTCTCTCTCTCTCTCTCTCTCTCTCTCTCTCTCTGTGTGTGTGTGTGTGTGTGTGTGTGTGTTTCCCAAGAGCTGGGGATCCAACCCAGGCCTCACCCATGCTAGTCAGTACTCTGCCACTGAGCCACATCCCCAACTCACCTTTGTCCTTTTTTTAATTGGATACTTTGTTTTCTTGCTATTTGATTGTTTGAGCTTCTTATATTTTTTGGATTTGGGTTCCCTATTAGATACAGAGTTTATTGTTTCTCCCAAACCCTGGGCTTTCTCTTCACTCTAATTATTTCCTTTGCTGTGCAGAAGCTTTATAATACAACCTGCCTATGTTTGCTTTTGTTGCTTGTGTTTTGGGGTCATATCCAAGAAATCATTGCCCAATCTAATGTCATTGAGCTTTTCCCTGTTTTCTTCTAATACTTTTACAACTTTAGTCTTCCATTTAAGTCTTGGAATTTTTACTTAGCAAATGAATCATCTAAGTTGATCAGACATTTTAGAACAAGTTTCTTTATGTTGCACACAATCTTGCTGTTCCATTCTGCTAGAAGCCTATAGGTGGCATTAGAATGAAACAAAAGTGGGATTAGGGGAAGACTAGGAAACAATTCTGTTAACATGCACATTTTTTTTCTCCTAAAGGAAGCAAATGTCACCCTTATAGTGATTGGACAGTCATCCTACCATCATATTGAGGTAAATATCTACCAAATTGGGAAACTCAGAGATTAAATTTGTTTCAGGTTTAAGTGCTATACATCTGTACCCTAGTGGCTTAGGAGGCAGGAGGATCATAAGTTCAAAGCCAGTCTCTGCAATTTAGTGAGGCCCTGAGAAACTCAGCAAAACCCTGTCTCTAAATAAAATATTTAAAAGGGCTAAGGCTATGACTCAGTGGTTAAACACTCCTGGGTTTAGTCCCCAGTACCAAATAAAATAAAGTTTCAGTTGTAAAAATTATGTTAATAGAACAGTGAGTATAGGCTAAATTGGCTGAAGTTAGATTATCATTACTTTTTTTTCTCATTTTTTCTTATAAAAACTCCAACTATTCTCTCTTCAGCCTTTCTGCAAACTGACTGGGTATTCCCATGAAATCTATGTTGATCCTGAGAGAGAAATTTATAAAAGACTGGGAATGAAAAGAGGTGAAGAAATTGCCTCCTCAGGTAAGACAGCATGTTTCAAATAGAATAAGGCAGTGGTGTGTTTTCACATCTGTGTATATGTGCATAGGGAAGCAAATGGTAAATTCCTAAGTCAGGCTACTGCTTATGATTCTGGTAAATGATCCAGCTATCCCACACGGAAAGACTTGTTCTCTGAACGTAATGATGTTTTAGCTTTCTGTTGCTATGACAAAATTCCTGAGATAATCAACTTATCAGGAAGAATGGTCTACATTGGCTCGTGGTTTCAGAGGTTTTAGTCCATGGTTGTTTGGCTTCATTGCTTTTGGACCTGTGTTGAGGTGGCACATCATGGCAGAGAGCATGCACTGGAGGAAACCTCTTCATCTCATGGCAGCCAGGAAGCAAAATAGAGGAAAGGGCCAGGATCCCCATGTCCCTTCAAGGGCACCGCCCACCCTTCCCCTTGCTAATGATGTAACTTCCTTCCATGAAGACCCACCTTCTACTTTCTACCACCTCCCAACACCACAGGCTGGCAACCAAGCCTTCAGTACATGGGTCTTTGGGGGTCCCTTACAAACCTTGGCAAATGGCATGGAAGGATATTGGCAATGTACTTTTGAAAGAAAAGGCAGTTGCAGAACAGTATTTTCAATATGACTGCATTTTTGTAAAAGCAAAAATAATTTTCACAAACATAAAGATTTGGGTATGAAAGCATGCGTGTGTATGTGTGCATGGTGAAAAAGGTTATAAGAAAGATTACAGCATTTTTGCCCCAAAAATGGAAGTGAAAAAATTGACTTTTTAAAAAATATTTTTTAGTTGGAGATGGACATAATAACCTTTATTTATTTTTATGTGGTGCTAAGGATTGAATCCAGTGCCTCACATGTGCTAGGCGAGCGCTCTACCCCTGAGCCCCAGCCCAGAGAAAATTGACTTTTGTAATTTTTACAAGTGTGTTTTACTTTTGTAATTAAAAGAAAAACAGCATGAAGCTTACATATTTTCATATCTCAGCACCACACCTGGGACACTCCATGTCCTTGAACTGAAGAGAACTGCGGATCCTTTGAGATCCAGCACAGAGAGGTTCTTCATAGCTCTCCAGGTGGAGGAATTGCTTTCTTGGGTGCAACAGCCCCTGTCTCCACAGCTGCTCTTACTGTGCTGAGGAGCCAGGTGGCACTGTGCAGCTAGTTGAAGATTGTCATAGCTCCACATTCCCCACCTGACCACGATTCCTGGTGATTAATGGAGCTTAGTAATTGCAGTCAAAACCAGTGTGTGTGTGCTTTGGGTAGGAATAACTCAGTTTCTGAAATGCAGAATAAGGCAACTCATACTCAGAATCATGCGCCACCAATACTATTTTGAGCTCTTGTCTCTGACACCCACTGTGGTGGATGCTCCCTGGAGAACAGAGATGAATGAGCCCTGCCTTCCAGAGATTTCCATACTGCATAAGGGCTTGTGGTAGAGAAGTGTGTGCTGAGGGCCTGCCTCAGCATCACGAGAGGAAAGGGATCTAGATGGCTTCTCCCAGGAGGGAATGTCTCAGTGTCCCCTGAAGGAGCTGGCTGGTGGAGGGAGGGCGAGCAGGGTGCTCAGGACACAGATACATGTGCAGGTACACAGAGGCAGGACTGGAGAAGTGCAGGTCCCTGCCTCTGGCCAGACTCTCAGAGCCAGCTGGAGAATTGGTGTGAGCCAAGAGGTGGGTCGGGCTGATGCACAGTGATATGGAGTGACATTCCAAGGATTGTGGATCTGTTCTGAAAGAACTGGGGGAGTCGATCAAGTGTCGAAACAGCAAAGTGAGACAGACACATCCCAGTGTGGGGGAGGAACTGGAACCAGCCCAACCAGATCCAGTGATGTCAGTGAGAAGGTTCTGGTAATTAACTAGAGAGAAATGGGAGGCCTCCAGAGGAGATGGAGAGGTATGATGGACTTGAGAGCCATTCACGAGGTAGAATTGCCCTGATCCCTTTGCTGATATTTTACTTTTATTTTTTATTTTTTCTTAATTTTATTTATGTATTTATTTGTTTGCTTATTTATTTATTTATTTAGTACTGGGGATTGAACCCAGAGGCCCTAAACCACTGAGCCACATCCCCACACCTTATTTATATTTTATTACAGACAGGGTCTCACTGAGTTGCTTAGTACCTCACTAAGTTGCTGAGGCTCACAATCCTCCTGTCTTAAGCCTCCCAAGCCGTTATTTTGTATTTTTATTTCTACTTGTGGTACTGGGGACTAGCCCAGGGGCACTCTATCACTGAGCTATGTCCCTAGCCCTTTTCTGTATTTTATTTTGAGACAGGGTCTCCTTAAGCCCAGGCTGGCCTTGAATTTTTGATCCTTCTGCCTCAGCCTCCCCAGTAGCTGGAATTACAGGTGTGCACCACCATACCCAGCTCACTAGTGATTTTAAAGAAAGCAACCTAAGCTGGGCGTGGCGGTGCACACCTGTGGTCCCAGTCGCTGAGGAAGCTAAGGCAGGAGGGTCAAAGTTTAAGGCTAGTCTCAGCAACTTGAGGAGATCCTATCTCAAAATAAAAAAATTTAAAAGGTCTGGGGATAGAGAACCCTGGGTTCAATCCCCAGTGCTGCAAAAAGAAGAAGAGGACAGAAGTAAGAAGGGAAGAAACACAGACTTTATTAAAACTGATGATGAGCTAGTTTAAGCTTGAGCGCTTGATCTGACCTTCCCCCTGCCTCTACCTCCCTCCCTCTGTCCTGCCCCCACCCCCAGCCCTGCAGTGGAGGAGATGGCAGTAGATCTGCCAGAAAGGGCAGACTGTGGCCCTTTCCTCCTGGCACACTATTTTCAGGTGCTGTGACAGAGTCTCAGCATGTGTAAGGTCTGCTTATCATTTAGCACTTTAGATATAAACTGTGAGTTTCACTTTAGTAGCACCTCATCCATTGCCACAATAAAGGTATGGAGTTGCAAAGAAAATAGGTGAATTCTAAACCAAATGCATGCTTCTAATTATGAGAAGGTATGTTCAAATCTTTTAATGTGCTTTAACTTAAATATACTTTATATAATATGTATAGGTATAAAGCTTACACTGTAAATATTATATAAACCATTATATTATAGATTTTATGAAATTATATTGTATAATATGCATTTGGGGGGTACTAGGGATCAAATCTAAGGGTGCCCTACCACTGATCTACAGCCTTTTTTCGGGGTAGCTGGGTCTTGCTAAATTAGTTGCCCACACTGGCCTTGAATTTGGCCATTCTCCTGCCTCAGCCTGGGGAGCTACTGGGATTGCAGGGGTGCACCACTGTGCCTGGCACATGTTTTGCTTTATAGTGTTAAAGTACTGTCTTGACAAGCAGAAAATATTAGATTTTCACAAAATACTTTTTTAAAAGCTTGAACCTGTATAAAGTATAAAGCATAAATATCAGAATTGTCCTCACAGTAGTCTTATTTGAAAATTAAGGCACTTAAAATACATTATACAGTTATAATTTAGAGTTAACAGTACCCACTTTATAAAGACAAAGAATAAGAAAATAAGACCATTAAATTGTTTTAAATTGTTTTAAAGTCAAAAAACAAGAGTTTTACACATAAGAACTAAATTCAAACTAGCAAAATTAGATCATGCCTAATGGGAACGATTGTTCAGCTCTAGGCTTTGGCATCTCCTTTAACTGAATTTCTATTGACATAAGATCTGGGTTTCTGAACATTTATTTTAGATATAGAATCCTGTAAAACAAATTTGATGTTTTACTCATGTCTCTGAGTCAGCTCGCCTGTTATTGTTTCGTGGTAAGATGAATGTCACAGTCACAATGTAAACATGGAAGAAATCAAAGAGCTGGAAGAAGCAGGGAAATAATATGAATCTGGAACTATCAGGAAGCCAGTGGGTCAAGAGCTGCATCATCAATGTGATATTATTCTGCATATATTTTGGTTTTCATCCACAGTTCCTGGCTCATAGCTGCCTTAAGGCAGGTCATAGGAACCAAAAATATACTCTGACCTCCCCGCCCGTGCTGTGTTGGAGCTGGCCATAAAGAAGTTCTCTTTTCTACCTGACCTGATAGTAGATCATGAGACCCCATTTGGGAAGGGGTCCTGCCCGGAAGGAAGGCTGCACAGAGTCCGGGAAGAATCTGGACAGGCCGTGCTGGCTTCCCCTACCGCCTGTCAGCACCAGATCCAGCCCTCTACAGAGTTGCCCGCTTCAGGCGTGTCCATGCAGTGAAGTCTCCATAAAACCTCGGGAGCTTCACGTGGCCACACACGTGCAGGTTTCTAGAGGGTAGGGTGTGCAGAGGCCCAGGAGGCTCTGTGCACCCTCCCCTGTACCCGCCCTGGCCATCTCTTCATCTGTGTCCCCTGTGGCATCTTTTATGGTAAACTGGCAAGAGTCAGGACGCATCCCGACTCTTGTGTGAGCCACGCAAGCTCCTGAAGGAACCTGAGGAGGCCCGGGGAACCTTGGTTTGTAGCCAGGCAGTCACAGCTCAGGACAAACGTCGGGGACTGACTGGCATCTGAATTGGCGCCTGTCTCGGGACCTGCACCCTCGGCCTGGGGGACCTGATGCTGTCTCCTTTGGACAGTGACAGGGTTGCATTGCATTGGAGGACACCCCCGTCGTTGGTGCAGGATGGCTCCCCTGGCGTGTGGGAGAAGCTCCGCCAGTGGGTAGCAGAAGTGGTCTGAGCTGTGAGAGGCCAGAGCAGAGCTGAGGTCAAGTCTGAGTTCGTTTTTCCTACTCAGTTGTCAGTGAAAAGCTAAAGGTGAGACGTAAAAGAGACACCAGGAAAATCAGTTGTGGGAGTAGTACAGGGGCTCTGTGGGGAGAGGGACGTCAGTGGGAGCAGAAGCAGACCCCCGACGGGGGAGGAAGAGCGGAAGTCAGCTGCCTCTGCCTCTCTGGGCCTCTCTAGGCCTGACGCTGCAGGCTGTCCCCTGTTTGAACTCTGAGGCAGGGCATTCCCATCCAGGCCCTGGGGCCAGCCCTTCCCAGGTCCTGCTCTGTCCTTGCCCCCAAGCCTCACCCCAGGGAGAGGACGTGGAAGCCGCCTCTGGCCTTCTCTGGAGCCCGGGGCCCCTGGCGAGCTTCTCACTCACTGGTTAGAACAGAGTCCCACGCCGCACGCACCCAGCTGTGAGGACGCTGGACAGTGTAGGTCAGCTACAGCCCAGTGAGAGGAAACGGCTCTTTGACCGACATTTAACCACCGGGCCACAGCGTGCCCAGAACAGGGCCGGAGCAGCCACTAGTGGGTGAGACGGAAGAGCAGAGTGGGAGTCGGTGGCAGTGCTGCCGCTGAGAACTCCTCCCTGTTGCCTGCTGGGGTCAGACACTGCTCCGGGCTCTCCCCTGAGCGCAGTCCAGCCTGAGGCTGACAGGCTTCTGTGGCAGAAAGGGACCTGGGTCTGTCTGTCATCACTTCTTTGAGAGCAGATGTTCTCACCAAGGACATTATCCCCTTGCTAAGGGGGCATTTGGCATTTTCTGGAGACACAGTTGGTTGTTGCAGCTTGGCAAACAGTGCCGAGAGCGCGCGTGCCGGGTGTCAAAAGCTGCTGAGCACCCAGCCCCACGCGGACAAAGGATCATCTGGGCCAGAATGTCAATACTGAAACCGTTCTTTGAAGAAAAGGAAAAAGGACAAATGAAATACGAAGTGAGATGTGACATAAGAAAGCGAATGTCTTGTAGAAATGCCAGCGTCGTCTCCTTAACATTTAATGGCGTGTGTAATGACCGCATCTAAAGACACTCTTAACGTTCCAGGACAGAGCCCCCACGTCAAGTCAAATCTGCTCTCAGGAAGCCTTCAGAGCCTGTGGCGGGCAGTGACTGGCCCTCTTTTTGACTTCCAAGGAGACCCAGCCCAGCAAGGCGGGACCCTCATTGTAGGTCCAGGTGAGCATGAAAGCCCAGATCCAGCCGTGTGCACTTCCTGTGCCTCTTACATGTCCCAAGGCCACCTGTTTTCTCTGTAAAGCAGACAGCATATAAAAGCGGGCACCTGGACCTCACTCAGGATGCCGTACTCTCGCGGGGCATCTTTTGTTTTCAGAGGCTTCTGTTCTTTGGCATCTGTGTGTTTGATGAGTGTGCCTGTCATTCCATGCCCCAGGGACTGCAGGGCTCGGGACAGGGGAAGCCAGCTGTGAGATGCTGATTTGTTTATGGCTATTTCACGCTTTAAAAAGCTCAGCAGAGGCCAGGAGTGTAGCTCAATGAGAGCATGTGCTTAGCGTGTGTTCAGCACCCACCACAAAAGAAAAGAAATAGCTCATTGGAGGTGAACGTTTCTGAACAGGAGGAAATCCTTAACACTTTCTGTCAGTGAAAAACTCTGTCTAGTCATTTATAGCTAACGAAACTGCAGGACTTGCAGTGTTCGAAAGCAAGTCTGTGCAGGGCAGCTCATTCAGTAAGAGCTACCATAAGCCGGGCATGGTGGCACCTGGTGTGCACGCCTAATAATCCCAGCGGCCTGGGAGGCTGAGCAGGAGAATCACAAGTTCAAAGCCAGCCTTAGCAACGTAGGAAGGCCCTAAGCAACTTAGTGAGACCCTATCTCAAAATAAACGGGGCTGGGGATGTGGCTCAGTGGTTAATTGCCCCTGGGTTCAGTCCCCAGTACCATAAATAGATAAATAACATAGCCATCATAAGTCACAGACTTTTAATGACTTTATTTTTTTAAATACTTTTTAGTTGTCAATGGACCTTTATTTTATTTATTTATATGCGGTGCTGAGTTTTGAGTCCAAGAATCAAAATGAACAGAACCTAGACTATAACTTGCAGCTTACTTGAGCAGATTATTAACACAAGGTCTTTTTTTGTTTTTTCGGTACCAGGGATTGAATCCAGGAGCACTTTACCACTGAGCCACATCCTTAGCCCCTTTATTTTTTATTCTGAGACAGGGTCTTGTTAAGTTGCTTAGGACCTCCTTAAGTTGCTGAGCTGGCTTTGAACTTAAGATCCTCCTGCCTTAGCCTCCCGAGTTGATGGGATGTCAGGCATGTACCAGTGCACCCAGCTTGTAACAGATGGCCTTAATGCCTTATTTTTAAACCTGTTTTGGGCTTTGTTTATAAAACAGATAGCCTATTAATCATTATTTGGGCATGGATTTTTAGAAGTGATTTGTTTCATTATTACATATATTTAAGAAACAGATGTGATTTTCCAGCTTGGTATCTATGTTCAGTATTCTGCCTGTGTGACAGGACATTTTATTTAATTATATTCAATAAAACCTAATAGGTTATAATTAAAGAATCTTTCTCCTTGGATCTCATAAAACCACTCTTATTTAACCATAATTCTTGCCCTGCTTTATTGCTATAATTAAAAAGTATTATGGCATTGTACAGAGAATATAATGTACTCTAGGTGATTAATTTTCCCCTTTGGACTAATTAAAAGTTGAAGCCCTTTCTTGATTCTAGTAAGAAATAAAATAAATAATAGTTAACATGCAAACCTCAGCTTTTGTTCTTATTTTCTTCTAGGTAACAACATCCATTTTATGCACCGTGATAGGAATAGGTTGGATCATAAACCCATAAACTCTGTCTTACAGCTTGTAGGAGTTCCGCATGTGAACTTCACAAGCAGACCTTCCATCATCCACGTGTGACTTGCCAGTGGTCCTTGGGAACCTGACCTTCAGTGCCAGCATGCAGCACCTTGTGCTTTCTGGGGCTGGCCCCTCCCAGCCTCTGAGGGAGGATGAGAGCAGATTCCTTCCATTTGGATCCAGGTTGAGGCTTCAGTTGTCAAAAATGTGATACATATTTTAAATTTTGTAGCTTTTTATAGCTTTTTAAAAAATAAGGAGTTAGTCTACTTTGGGCTGTGGAGAGCAGCTCAGCAGCAGAGCACTTGCTTCCCAGGAACAAGGCCCAGGGTTTACCCAGCACTGCGAAAATAAAAATAAAAATACATGCACACATACTTGTAAGTATACAGGAGAAAACTTTAAAAGTTATAGAACTCTCATGCACAAGGCCCTGGGTTCAATTCCCGGCACCACACACACCGCCCCCCCCCCCCCAAAAAAAATCGTAAAATTAGGAACACATTTGCTAAAATTAAATAACGTGGTCAGTTGTTCAATAAAAGATGGTTTCAGCAATTAAAACATATAAAGGAAATGGAAAATAACTCCACCATTTTATTCAATAAAAAAAGCAGGATATCAAATTCTGTAAGCAATATAACCACTTTTTTTATATGTGTATGTTTATATTTTGGTATGCTTAGGGAAAAAAACAGAGGAGAATTGCCAGTATTGTAAGATTACAGTTATTTTTGTCTTTTTCAAACTTCTCTTTATTTTCCAAGTGTTCTCTAAAGAGCATGATTGACCTTTTTCTTTTCCTTTTCTTTTTTCCTTTCTTTTTTTTTTTTTTTTTTTTTCTTATTTTTTTTGACTAGGCAAAGATCTTTAAACACCGGAGGACAAATACCTCCTCAGAGGTGCAGATTACGAGGCTGAGGCCCGCTGGCTTCCATCCTGTTAGTGCTCTGCCCGGGCACAGACCACGCCCCTGACACCCAGCCACATTAGCTGCCTGTTACACTAGGGTTTTTTGGTGGGAAAAAAGAAGTGAAGGAGAAAAATATTTTAGGGTCTTTGGATTTTTTGTTTGTTCGTTTTTAACATGGAGCTGGGGATCAAGCCCAGGGCCTCACACATGAGAGGCAAGTGCTCTGCCACTGAGCTATATACCCGCAGCCCGTTTAAGATATTTAATTCATGTATTTAAAATATGGTCAGGGCTGGTGACATAGCTCTGTGGTAGGCACTGGCCTTGCAGGCATGAGGCTCTGGGTTCAATCCCTGGGACTACACTAAAATACATATATAGAGAGATATATATACACACACATATATTATATGTATTATATACATGTGTTTATATATATATATATGTAAAAGTATGCTTTTTGAAATTTTAAGAATGTGTGAATTTTTAAAACTTTATAACGAATGTACACCATGGTTTGGTTGTACATTCCTAGACAACTACTATTTCTTACCCCCAGATTGCTCTTATTTAGAGAACTATGTCATCTTTTATTTTTCTAGAATCTTAATATTTTTGAGGGGAAGCAACCGAGAAATACTGATGAAAAATAGTTACATAAAAATAATGGTAATTAGCAAGTATAAAACCACTTTGAACTTATAATACTTTTATATAACATGAAATTACAAAAAAATCTATATTTAATGAACCCAAATATTTGTATTTTCACATCTGTATACTTGAGTGGTCATGTTTTAATCAATTAAAATGAAGTTTCTCATAAAATTTGAAAATAGACTTTTTCATGCTATTTTTAATACTGAAGAGTGGTAATTCAGAGCCCTTTGCCAATATCAAACTTAAAAATGCTGGATCATAAGCTTACAGGAAAATCTATGTAGTCATACATGTACACCACATCTTTCTAAGGTAAATAAGTATCCTTTATGTGGCTTCAGGCAGGTAGTTACATTAATAGAGTTCACGGGTAAATTGCCCACCCAAACAAATGTGTTTTATGTAAAATCACCACTGGGTGTGGTGCCATGTTCACATATACTTGGGAGTTTGAGGCATGAGGACCACTTGAGCCCAGGAGGTGGAGACCAGCCTAAGCAACAGAGCAACTCCCCCCCTCTTAAAAATGTGTGTGTGTGTGTGTGTGTGTGTGTGCGTGCGCACGCGCACGCAGGTTTATATTAACAAAACTACATATAACACATGCTGTGAACTATATAAGGATCCTCCACATCTAGTCATAATACTGGACTCAAAACTCTGAACAATCTCCCTGTGATATGTGCATAGATATACTGGATAAGAGGATAATACCATAACATTTTGTGGTGTTGATTCTTTGCCAGGTCAAATCCAGGTGTTTTGTGTACACTGGGTAGCATTATCATCAGTATTCCCATTTTACAAAGAAACATCCTTTTTTAAGTTGAGCTTACAATAAAGTGAGGAAGCTTCCACCGAGGCCAAAAACATTCTCAGAAATGAGACTGATGACCACGTTTGACACCGTGGACTGCCCTGAGGAGCTGGGATTCGTCCAAGAAACCGAGCAGGCTGTTCCTTGGCCTTCTCCAGTGCCTGGCACAGCAGAGTTAAAACTATGACTCCTGATTCAAGGACAGCCTACAACTGTGCCTGAGACCTGAGACAAGGGCTGCAGCCTTGTAAGAATACCATCAAATCCATCCCTAGGCCGAGGAACCCAGTGAGGAAATTTGTTGTAAAGAATCTATGATGAACTTCTAGGGAAACAAGACTCAGTGAAATGAGAGTGTAAGTTTAATTTTTAAAAATCGTGATGCCTGTAATTCCAGCTAACTTTGGAGGCTGAAGCTGAGAGTCAGTAAGCCCACAAATTTGAAAGCAGCCCTGGGCAACAACCATTCAGACCCCCATCTCAGAAAGCAAAACAAAACAAAAGAATTGGTCTGGGGTGTAGCTCAGTGACAGAGCAGATGCAGGTCTGAGGCCCTGTTCTGTCCCCAGAGCTGAAAAAACAGTGTTCCAGAAGATAATTTAAGACACAGCTGCGAACAGTACTCATCATCCTCTAAAGGATGACTTTCATTTAAAGTGTTAAGATAATTTCATTCACTTTTCAACTTCCACTTCCTCATGCAGGTATTTAAAATGAAGTAGTGCTGTTCATGTGGTGGCCCTGTTAGCAGAAACACTGGGAACAGTTCAAGGATGCCAGGCTTAGATTGTATTATCAGATGCTTTAAATAGATAATCAGATAAATTAATTCCTTTTTTTTTAAGAGAGGGAGAGAGAGAATTTTTTTAATATTTATTTTTAGTTTTTGGCGGACACAACATCTTTGTTTGTATGTGGTGCTGAGGATCGAACCCGGGCCACACGCATGCCAGGCGAACGCGCTACCACTTGAGCCACATCCCCAGCCCAGATAAATTAATTCCTAACAGAGGACCTAACAGTGGCATGTTTTTCCATCTAGTTTTCAGAGTCTAAACAAAACCCTTGCAAATTCATACTTTCAAAGGCAAAATATCTGACAGAGGAATGCTGCTCTAAATTCTTAACAATTCAACATGGAAAAAAACAGGATTTGTTTTTGTGGTGATGAATACAAATTTGAATTAATGCATTTTTTAAAAAAAAATATAATGGGGGCTGGGGATGTGGCTCAAACGGTAGCGCGCTTGCCTGGCATGCGTGCGGCCCGGGTTCGATCCTCAGCACCACATACAAACAAAGATGTTGTGTCCGCCGAAAACTAAAAATAAATATTAAAATAGATATAATGTTAATACTTAAACCTGTGGAGCAGAAATGTACTTGGATTTTCTTTAATTAATTTATTTAGTGGTACTTGGAATTGAACCACTGAGCTATATCCCAGTACTTTTTTTCTTAAATATTTTATTTTTTAGTTATAGGTGGACACAATGTCTTTATTTTACTTTACGTGGTGCTAAGAATCGAACCCAGTGTCTCACGAATGCTAGGCATCTGCTCAACCTCCAAGCCACAGTGCTAGCCCCTATATCCCAGTCCTTTTTGTTTGTTTGTTTTTTAATTTTAAGATAGGGTCTCACTAAATTGCTGAGGCTGGCCTCATACTTGCCATCCTCCTGCATCAGTTTCCCAGGTTGCTGGGATTATAGGTGTGTACCACTACACCAGATGTACTTGGAGTTTGTTATGGTACACACATAATTCATAATTAAGTCTCAATAAGGTATCAATCAACAGAGATCATAGTTGTTAAAGTTTACCAATTAAAATATAATGGACAGCAGCTCGGGAGGATGAGGCAGGATGATCATGAGTTCAAACCAGCCTCAACAAAAGTGAGGCGCTAAGCAACTCGGTGAGACCCTGTTTCTAAATAAAATATAAAAATAAGGCTGGGATGTGGCTCAGTTGGTTGAGTGCCCCTGAGTTCAATCCCCAGTACCTAAAAAAATAAGTAAATAAACATTTTTTAAAAATAAATATAAATATATAAAATGGACCTGAGTGCTCTATCGCACGCCTGTAATCTCAGCAGCTTGGGAGGCTGAGACAGAAGGATCACGAGTTCAAAACCACCCTCAGCAAAAAGCGAGGCACTAAAGCAAGTCGGTGAGACCCTGTCTCTAAATAAAATACAAAATAGGGCTGGGCACGTGGCCCACTGGTTGAATGTCCCTGGGTTCAATCTCAGTACCCCCGCAAAAAAACAAGGGTTATATAATGGAGATAAATATAAAATTTGCCCTTTCACCATGATTCTGTGGTGCAGTTGTGTGGCATAAAGCACACACACCTGGTGAGCGTCCCACCAGCCATCTCCAGGTCTTGGTCCCCATCCTGTGCTGAGACTGTCCCCATGAAGCAATAGCTGCTTACTGAAAGCTCAAATAGAACATAAGATTGTTTTTAAAATTCTGTAACTCATCACGTTCTCTGATTTTAATTGGGTAAATATAAATTCTGCACCCAAAAGGAATGAAATGGAAAAACAAGACTAAACCAGCCTATGATTTCGCAGCATCTAAATTGGGTGGAACGTTCAGGAGAATTACATAAATGGAGAATGTATTTGACAAGTATCATTTTGTAAAAATCAGGGCTAAAGAAAGGTACTCTGAATAGAGGCAAATGACAGTGTTTGGAAATGTCAGAGCTGAGTCATGCTTTTAGTGCGAAGAGAATGGATCTGAAGGTGTCCTTAATTTAACACAATCTGCCCGAATTTTCCAGGTACTTCCTTCAGTACTTGTAGAGAGAGAAAATTCTCAATTTGAAACATGGTCCAGAGAAAAGCCAAATGAAAAGGTCAGCTGTTTCAAGTCATTTGACTGTAAAATGCAACTTTGGAGGTTGCAGGCAATTTAATTTATTTAAGTATTAAAAATGAAGGGTGGGGGCCTGGGTTTTGTAGCTCAGTGGTAGAGAGTGCTTGCCTAGCATGTATGAGGCCCTGGGCTTGATTCTCAGCACCACATAAAAATAATAAAATAAAGATCCATATAACTTAAGAAAAAAAAAAAAAAGGGTGGGGATGTGGTGCAGTGGTGACAGCTTGCCTAGAACATGTGAGGTCCTGGGCTCAATCCCCAGCACTGCAAAAATAATAAAACCATGTGAAAATGTTTTCAGAAGAGTACCAATAACAGTGGCATTAGTGAGCTAAGTAGACTAGA